ACCCAGAGGACTCTCGAAACACTTCAATTGGTAGGAAGTCAATCACAAGAAAGACTATCACTAAAAAATGATCTCGAAGAATGTTCGTTTGCTAGAGAGTTTACAGGATGTAGAGAGAACTGCATTTTGACGAATGTCAGAAGCAAAATGCCTGCGACGAAACACACAACTTTACCATGAGACACTGGAACGAAAAAAGAATGGAAAATGCTTCAAAAGAAGCTGTGTGGACTTTGCATCTCCATTATCTCGTAGCACTCTAAAATGACAACCCTTTTGTCATGTTAGAAGATTTGTATCTATTCGGAACATTGAAACGCAGCAGGGACACTTTTCTGCTTTGTTGTTGAACATTCAAACTTCAGAGTCATAAACTTCAGGGGCCATCTCACTGCTTTACACTTCTTGGAATTTTGCATCTCCTGAAAAAATTGATTCTTTTCCAGAGTCACCTTCATTTGGAACAATTCTTTCATTAGATGATTCGTGCTCAACGTCTTCCAAATCTTCAATCTTCGAAGCACTTCGGTTGGAAATTCCCACGTCTGCCTCGGGATCTGGCGATTCCGTTTCTGCAGGACCCACACCCATTTCCCTATCGAGAAGGACCACCTTTGATACTTCATCGGTGGGAACTGTTTCTATCGATGTGGGAGGAATCTGAATGGGAGGCATGGAAGCAGAAGCGGACGCAGAACGGATGGACTGCGAGGCAGATATCGACCGGGGCATGACCGAAGAAAACGAGGCAGACACCGAATGGTTTTTGTTCTCTCCACTAGCTGTTGTCCGTCGACCGGCTTCTTGATCCACATCAGCGAAAAGAAGAGAGTCGCCGTACTTCGTTCCGCTATTTGTCGAGATAAAAGATGTTGTATGGGACATTGAGGCGACCCGTTGCTGAACGAGGCCCGCATGTTGCTTCATCGCCTCCTGCGCATTGAACTCTTTCAACGCAGCACCAAGCCGTTCAACGTCTGCTAAGCTTGGCGCGTCATGCTCTGCTAATGATTCTAACCAAGTAGCGTAGTGCTCACACTTGAAGACTGTTTCTTGGTCGAGTGCTTCGATCGGTACTGGAACTTCAATAAACCGGGGAACATAAAGAGGAATGTTCACTTGTTTATAGCGAGGGCGAATCAGTGGAAGCTTCAGATGAAGTTCAGTTATCGCCTGCGTGAACGATGCCAGTCACAGAAAAGAAAACCCTTACACATACTTCAACGGGAACGGGATAGTGGCGCACTACATCGACTGCAACTTCAACGTCCACATGCTGGGGAGTGGGTTTGTCGACGTATCTGGAAGAAGAAGAGTTGTGACGACCACACTCACCCCCACACCCAAACACTTCAACCCACAATTAAGCACGCACTCAAGCACGCACTCAAGCACGCACTCAAGCACGCACTCAAGCACGCACTCAAGCACGCACTCAAGCACGCACTCAAACCCACAACCCTTAATCAAGCCAACAATTCATAACCAAACCACCGTTGCGCGTACTGAGGAACGGGAATCTCTTTCACAACGAGTTGCTCGTGAATCTGCAATATGGAAACGAGACTTGCATTTGTTCTGAAAATGCTGATGTATGAGGCCCTGAGGGAATCACTCCTAATGACTCACTTCAGGAACTTCGACGACAGTTTCAAATGGCACCTCTAAGTATTCAATGGAAGGTACCTAGAACCACATCAAGCTCAAGCGAACAAAGAAGCGAACGGTGCGCTTACCTCAACGAATCTTTCCTGCGTTATAACTTTTGGAATTTCGTGAATCCTTTCTTGAATTTCAATTTTTGGGACTTCTCCTGGAAGAACACACCAGATCTATTTGTAGAAACCATTGGAAGCATGCGCGAGAACTGGTATGTAAAATGCGAATAGAAATTCAAAGCAAAAAAAGGCCCAACGCCTTTCCCTTTGAGCAGAAACCCAGACATCAACAACTCAGGTGTTGCACCGAATCAAACACTCACGGATTTTTTCCTGTATCAACGTCTCTGGGACCTCAACGAGCTTATCAACGTAGACGTATTCTACAATAATGAACAGTATCACTAAGGAGTCCCAATCAGAGAGAGCCACACCTGGGACTTCAACAATCGTTTCTCGAGTGATGGGCCTGGAAGAGGAACAGAGGGATACCGAAATGATACAGCAGAACATCCCACCCAACCAGATCCCAACAATAATCCCAACAATAATCCCAACAATAATCCTAACAATAATCCCAACAATAATCCCAACAATAATCCCAACAATAATCCCAACAATAATCCCAACAATAATCCCAACAATAAGATATTCCACAATAAGATACTCCAACAATAAGATATCCCAACAACAACATGTTCAAACAATAAGATCCCAATAGCGATCTCTCACTTTGCAACTTCGATTATTTTGTTCTTGATCTTGACAACTTCTTCAATCTCTTCCTCGTGTCGAATAATCTCGGGAATGACTACAACTCTTTCGACAACGTTTTCACGTATGATTTTCTTTGGAACACGAATTTCATGTTCTTCAATTCTTTCGGATATAACTTTAGCATCAACAGGAAGAGATTCACTGCTATGAAGAAGTCGACTTCCTGAAAGACTTGCCGCGGTTGACGTGGTTGACTTTTGCGTTTTGGCCGCAAGCTCAACATTGCTAAGTGTGCTCGAATGCCGCACCATGTTGCTAAGTGTGCTTGAATGACGCACCATGTTGCTGAATGCACTTGGCTCGAGCGATTGAGCTGTGGTCAATATCGGCGACGTCGATCTCGTGGGGACATAACGCGGCATTTCATCAGGACTGATCGCGATTGTCCCACTTGTTGCTCTCAAGACCATTGGAGAAGTTGTCGCGATTGAGGTCGTTGACGTTCCGCGAAACGTCGTTTGATTTTCGTTGCGTTGTTCGGAACGGACAACATGCGATGTTACAGAAAGAGGATTTGAGTGGAGGGAAGGCATCATCGACGTCACAACGTTCCCCCTCGAGACTCCTCGAAGGGAATGCGACATGATGCCCCCCTTGTGGTGCCTGACTGACGCGAGCTGTGTCGTGATCCGTGACGACGGTTGGGATACTCGAATCGTCCGACGAGATGAGGCCGTCGTCGCTTCTAGCGGGTAAGCTCCTCGGACGCTCAAATGGGGAAATTGTTTGACACTTACACTGACATCTCTGACCTCTTTGTTGTCGTCTTGAAAAGAGTTTTGCCTCGAAGCGTCACCAGAGGTCTTTGGTTGAGAAGAGGACTGTTGGTCTGTGTTTGGTGTTGCGGAAGACGAACACATAGTTCTTTATAAAATTTGATTGAGTTTCTATAGAGGAAAAACCCGGAAATGGAATCGAGACTCAGAGAAGCCTACAGATTCGCATGAGTCATAAGCATTCTGTGCGAACAGACGGGTTCAGGCGCCGGCAACGACAGTTGATCGACTGAGATTGCATCATGTACGCCCGCTTTTCAACCCTACATGTACGTCCGCTTTTCAACCCCACATGTACGTCCGCTTTTCAACCCCACTCTGACTTCCAAAGTCTTGAAATCTTAGACCATGCCGCGATCACAACCAGCATTCGAAACGCCCATGGGTATTTTGAATTGTGATGAACCGCCGACAAATAAAAGGATCCCAACTTTTTTCACGAGTTTAAAAAAAGTTCACAGAGAATTTCTACAACAATTGAAATAATTCCACCAAAGTTGAGGTCCTTCATCAATATTTGATGGGTGAGTGAACCAAATGAGACTTAGATAGCGAATCCCATCGACAAAAGCAAGAAGCTGACTTCTAAATTTTAAACAGATCCGCTTGACTTTAAGACACGAGGACCAACATGGAGGGAGACAAACGATGAATCATCTCCAAGACCCACTTCCAACTTGCTCAGTCAACTCTCAGCCGAATGTTCGATCTTCAGGATATCCATTTACAAATAGAGGCCGTTTTGACCAGGCTGACTACGGAGGCCCACATTCGCAACGTTCAGCGAATGAAGCGTTGTTTCTGGAACCTTCCATTGAGTTGAAAATTTCTCTTTGCAACGTACTTGATTCGATGCGTGTCTACCAGGCGCTGCATCTTCTTCAATTGCAACAGCCGTGGAGCATCTTGCAAACCATCGGCAAAAGCAGTTCAGTCGCTCCTAATGCTTCAATTCCGAATTTTGAGCGTCCCACATCAGTTTCCCATATTTTTAATGCAATGGGATTCTCATCTCCACCCGAAGCGTTCTCTACTCCTCGGTTTCAAGATGATGATCGACACAGTTCACCTCAACCAAGTTCACGTCAGAATTTTCAACCGAGGGATCCTACCCCACATCACCAAGAGAGGCTCCATGGCTCCTTCTCTGTCCCTACAAGCCGAATTGATTCTTATTCACCAGACGCATCAGCGAACTGCCGTTCTGAACAAGACACGGAATACATAACAGGTCGATCCCTGCAGCGGTCTCAAAATCCCCTGATCTTGGCCCGATCCGCACCACCAAATCGAACATCTGAATTCGAGCGAATCGATGACAGGCCCCTCCCTACGACATCTCTAAGTGCAGAGTCTTATTCAGAACGTCCCACCAGTCGGCGACCCAGTACGACATCGATCCTACAACGACAAACTTCAGTCCCAATTGAATCGCCACAAGAAGAATCGGCGAATAAGGGATTCACCGAAACGACTGGAAAGACTGAACAAAACTTGAAGGTAGGCGTATCTCGAAGAATGAGGCCGTTGCTGAGGCAGCGTATGACTCTTTAACGACATCGATTCTTGTTGTTTCAGATTTTCTGTAAGGAATGTCATCGTGGTTTTAGTTCAACGGAATCGAAAAGTCGTCATGAAAATGTCTGTCGATCGATGTTTATCGAAAAGCGGCGCCCATACGATTTTGGTGAAAAACGAAGAGCGCAGATTTATCGCATCAATTTCACTTCTCGGCGTTAAAATTCAATTTTAAGCAAAGACGTCTCACAAACAAAGTTCGGTTCCGTTATCAAGTCGCCGACTGCGACGAGAGGATTCGATGAAGAGCTTCCCCCGGAGATCTTAATACTTCAGAGCGCGCTCCAAATTGGGACAACTGACCGTTTGCGAGAACCGCAATGTAGTCAGCGTACTTCAGTGTTGATAGTCTATGCGTAATAATAATTGTTGTTGTATTCTTAGTTGCCTGAATTTTCAAGAGAACGACTTCGTATGGATTCGATTTTCACTCCTTACTTGGTGTAGTTGTTGGTGAACAATTGTTTCTGATCGAGTATCAAGGGCGCTCGTTGCTTCATCGAGTATGAGAAAACGAGGATGCCGAGCCAGCGCGCGTGCCAAACAAATTCGCTGCTTCTGCCCTCCTGAAAACAGAGATTGAACTCGACAAGCGAGAGATGCAAGAATGACGAAATATGCAGATATTCGTATACCTGAGAGTGAAACTCCTCTTTCGCCAACGTATGTCGATAATCCGTCGGGGAAGGCTTTCAGAAATTCAACGCAGTTAGAAGCTTCAAGCAGTTTGGACATTTCATTCTTAGGGTCCCTGGATGTCGGAAGGTGCAAAGCTTGATGAGTCAATTTGCTATAAAGTATGTTGTCTTCTATTGTCATAGCAAAGAGAGTCGGTTCCTGAAATCAATGAAGAAACGAGTAACAAGATAAAAAAGAACATAAACTAAGCATCCTCTGCTACAAGTTAATATTCCGATATGGGATCCCGATTGTAAATGCTCACTTGATTAACGACTCCGACCAGAGATCTTATCCAGGCTGGGGGGTGCTTATAGATATCAACATTTCCTACTTCGATTGTTCCTTTTGCTGGGTCATAAAACCGCAATAATAGAGATGCTAGCGTTGATTTCCCACTTCCACTTTCACCTAATAATGAACCCTACAAAATACTCATCATTTGAAGGTCTCATTACCCAAAACAGCGACAACCGAGTTCTCTGGAACAACCAACGAGAATCCTCGTAAGACGTCTTGCTGCGGTCGGGATGGATACGCAAACCAAACATCCTTGAAAACGATGTTCCCATTAAGAGGTTGGCAATCGAAACATATTGGAGCCTCTTTCTGTGAACATCCCGTTTCTAGAGACGAGCTGAAATCCTGTGGCGATCTTATTTCGTCATCGTTTGTGTCGAGAACCAATTCCATCACTTTTTGACAGGATCCCAACGCTGATAGTTAGAAGAATGTAACAGGCCACCGAAAAACAACACGCACCCTTTTGTACGTCTCCGTATGCAGTGATGACACCCTGGTACGAGCCTCCGGTCATGAGCACGTAGAGCACTGCAAAATAAAAGAAACGAAAATCTCCCAAAGCGAATAAGGCAGAAACAACACTCACTGAGAGATGTCACATCGCCCAATGAGACGAGACCTGAAGACCGCAGCACTTTGTTCGGAGGGGCGAGTTGATACGTACCAGCAGAGATAAGAACACCGCATCTATAAATGAGGTGCAAAAGCAGAGAGCCTCCAGCAGCGTAGAAAATAGCGGAGCGCCCTCCAACGGCTAAAGAATTCAAGAATCCTACTTTGTACACAGCGTCCATCTGTCGGAAAACCGTACGATTGAACGTTTCTCGAAAGCGTTCTCACCTCCTTTTGATATTCTCGGGCCTCGAGCTTCTCTCCATTGAATAAGCGAACAGTTCGAATATTCGACAGCTTCTCTTCAGCCCTGGCAGCTGTATCGCTAAGCCGGTCCTGTTTTTGCAAAGCTAATTTGCGCACAAATCTGAAAATTGGAATCGTGATCAAACCAACTGATCGAAGTTCTCCTCACTTCCCATAAGCCACTCCAAGGGCAAAAATCCCAACAACAGGACCCACAAGAGAAGCTACAAGTTGTGCTGGTACAATTGCAAAGATAGCGACTGTCCCAACAATTGCAGTCAGGATATTCCGAATACCAAATGAGAGATCGAGAAGGACACGCGACGTAACTGTAACATCTCCTACAAAAGTTGAAGAAGCGTTCTTGGAAAGAATTGCCTTTGTAACAATCTCCGGGTATCAAGACCGCACACCAAAAAGGCGATGTCTTTTGAGCAACTATCAGTCTTTCTATACCATCAACACATTTACCTGAAAGCCTGTTAATCAATTCTCCAGTTCTAATTCTGTCAAAAACCTCAATCTTCTTGTTCATCAAACTGTCGAAAAGACGAACTCTCAATCGATAAGCAATTCGTTCTGACTGCAAGAAACACATCATAAGCATTATTCAAAAATTTCGTCCAGAGAAATAGCCTCTTTACTGTTCTTGTCCATCATTACATACCGAACTTTCCAACTGAAAGAAAAAAACAGAATCAAGATTTATTCAGTCTAGAGACAGCCTCTCCTTCTCATTTTTTCGACTCACCAGAAACAAGCGCATTCCTGAGGCCAAAGCTCCAATAACAATGGCTGCTATCAAATATCCTGATTGAGCTCCGACCAGATGCAGCCCAATTTCAGTGGGGGACATTGTGGTTCCCAGTCCAGAGGTATTGAATGCATCAACGAGGACTCCAAACAGCTTGGGCATCACTAGAGTTGCGCTCGACGAAACTATCAGAGATCCCAGTGCCAATTTTAGACGCGTTTTCTCTGGACTCAAGATCGACCAAAGTGTTGCTAGTGAAGCTTGCGAGGCCGTTTTACGCTCCTGTTGCTCTTCATCTGATTGTCTGGGCGTTTTAGCCTCCTGATCACATTTTTGATGTTCTTCTTTTAAGTTGTCTGATGGTTCAATCTCTGAGTTACATCCTTGTTGTTTGGAGCATTGGGGAACTTTATCGGTTCTCGCAGCTCCAGATGTGAATACTCGTATGCCTGATAGTCGTCGCCCCTCAATACTTTGAACTCCAATTCGATGGTGTGGAGATTTCAGCGAGCTCAGAACGCAAGCTCCAGTCCGCAACGAAAGGCGCCGCATTTTTTGAACGAGGTATCAGAAAAAGGAAAAACCAATTATGCAGAAGAGAAAGGAGGAAAAACGGGGGACGGTCTAAAATTTCTCCTTCCTTTTTCTCCCTGTATATTTAGTATCCGGCCGGACGTCCTTCCCACGAATCCGTTGGCCCTCTTTCTTTCTGAGAATCCAGTTTCGGTCTTTTACCTGCTTCCTTGCAGACCTGCCATGGGTTTTTTGAGACTCACGGCCAACAAAGGCTACCCTTTCTTGGTCAGCAACGCCGCAATCTAGCCCCTAAGAACTTGACATGAAACGAAATATGGATGTGAGAATCGCTCACTTCTGGAAGCACCGGTGGCACTCCAGTAAAGCCCGCCCATATTACAAGAAAGTGCCTAATGAGAAAAATTAGACCCGAAAAATGTCATGAATAACTCACTTCTTTGCTTTTGTTGAATTTGGAAAATCTACAACAAGCCCTCCTCCAAATCCGCTTCGAAGAGCTGCAGAGGTGATCATTTCTAGTTGTTCTGCTCCCTCTGGATAAAATTGAAGCACCTAAAACGCACAGAAATAAAAAACCTACCAACTGCGTAGTGGTTTGTCAAACTCACAGCTCTTGCACCTCTATTGAGTGATGCATAAAGCCACTTGAAGAAAGTAACCAAACGTTGATACGGATTATGGGCTTTTCTTATCCGCGTTACAGAGCCACTGAACCGCAGATATACTGAAAGAAGAAAAACATTGCACCAGCTAGCACTGCAGAGACTACCTTATGGCGCCGTCAAAAGTTCCAGGCCGAAATCGCATTGCTTGGGAAAATAGGATATCAGGTGCTTGAATGGATGGTCACGCTTACGCTGGCCCAAATCTGAGAGAATCAGATCTCCTTCACACTCTCCTCGTTTGGCGACATCCAGCATTGACTCGCTGATGTCAAGTCCGATCCAATGGTGTCCCTGCTTCGGCGATGCATCCACCACTTAATCCGGACCCACATCCAAGATCAAGAAGCAAACACGTCTGGTTGGGGGGAAGAACAAGCAGTTCTAAAGCTCGCTCCGTCAGTTTGGTTTGAACATCAATAATATGGGAGTTAGATGTGTATTTTGATGCCTCCTCATTATTATAAAACTGAGAATTAAAAATTTTGTAAGTGAGAAACGAAGTTTGACAAATAAGAGAAAAAAGTTATGCGCAAGAGCAAACAACGACAGCGAGATGGACTTACTATCCCTGGAGGAGCCACGTACTCTGGCCGACTCATTTTAACGGGCGAACCAGGTATTCTGTTCAAAAGTCCCGCTCTGCATTGTTAGAGAATTTTTTTTAAGATGTCTTAACACCTACTTTTTAGTAAAGATGGCTCTCTTTCCAAAATGACAGCTTCGCATCATCTATTGATATCTATCTGCGTTGGGGCATCTTTTTCTTTGGCGACAAATCGCGAACTCCAGCTCGAACAAAGTGTTGTTCCCATCAGATGAATCAGTGAAGTATTCATGCGCTTGTAGCTTGTCGCTTCTGCGCCAATTCAACATTTCACTGTTTTGATGTCCGCCTGGGCAATTTTTCTCGGTTGTTCCTTTCAAGTAAACGTCAGGAGCAAGTGTCTTGGCAGAAGTATTGATTTTGTTCGTAAAACTCATGCGTTCATTCTTCCCTTCTTCTTCTTGCTATTCCACGATCTGTTGCAGTTCCCCGCCTATTGCTTATTAGAGCATCAAACAACGTTATTTCTCGTTCAATGTGACGTTTTTTATTAATGAATTTCTCAATGTGTTTCCAGCGATATTTCTCTGATCTTTTTTTGACCTTGTCTTCAGCTGTTCGTGCATTTCCTCCCGTTCCCCGCCACTGGGGCCACCGTTTGTTCGATTCTCTAGGGCTGAAGCGTCTCGGACGCGTTCTTCCCACTTCTCGTTGGTTGCTCAATTTTCATTCTTTCCGTAGTTCGCTTATATTTTCGGCGCAGCTTAATCCAAACATCACTTAAAGGGCCTCATCCATGCATCCGCATCTTTACAACGTCCTTTGCGAGCATCAAAATCCTTACTCTGGCTCAAATCAAGGGCAAAGGAAGCAGAATGTCATCGAGCATCTGTCAAACAATCGGAGACGACATCAAGTGAAATTCGAACAACCAAAACCACTCGTCAAGAAAATTCTGCCCATGGACAAACCGCCCCATGCAAAAGTCTCATCGGGACAGGACGAGGTAAAATCTCCTCCGAGCCCATGTTCGATTCCGCAACATTTGAGTCCAGCAAAGCGGCCCCGACGTCGGAAAAAATTTCGTTGAGTGGACACCATCCTTTCCTCGACGTGATAGTTTCGTTCAGCGTTTTAATCAAAAGAAACTTCAAGAAGATTCCATTTTTCCGAATCATCCGTGGCACCGAAGTGGCATTTCAATTCAAGCGGAAATGGAGCAAGAATCTTCTCGTTGCCTACCGAATCGCGATGTGAGCTCATTCTTATGGATTGCTTGTTTTTTTTGAGATCTGCTAATAGTTTAATTGAATGGCTTAGAAGTTGCCCCTTTTCGCAGGCTTGGAATGGAGAAAAATCCACGTTTCTTCAGCCGTTGATCAAACAATCTGAGGGGGTGAAGAACCACGGTTACGACAATTGGGACAACGACTACATTTGCCGACGGGGTGAAGTGTTTGAGCGCCCTGAATTGCATTGTTATTACGGTCGCTCAAGAGTTTATCGGCAAGGGAGCATTCGGGCAGGTGATCAAATGTGTGGAGTGCACGATGGCAGGGACACCTCAACGTTGGGTCGCCATGAAAATTATTAAAAAACCGTCCAGCATATCTGACTCAAGCCGTTATGGAAGTTCGCAGCATTCTTCATTTGAAGATCCTCTTTCCTTCAAGCGAACAACTCCGCATCACCCGTCTTCATGACTTCTTTTTTTACAGAAACCACCTCTTTATAGTGGTGCATCTGCTACAACGAAATCTTTACGAAATGTTGCTTCAACGAGGGTTTGCAAGTTTTCCTCTTCCTGCAATTCGTCATGTATGTGCTCAAATCTGTGAGGTCTTGAATCTATTGGCAGCTTCTCGCATCATCCATTGCGACATCAAACCGGAAAATATCATGATCAGCTGCAGAAGTGAAGCTGCTAGGTTTTGCCTTCCTCCACCGAAAGGCGAAGCTGTTCACGTTTTCGGAAACCAGTTCGTCCGTCGCCCCTCAACTTCTCCAGATTTCTTAAACCCTTTGGACACGCCATCTGAATCCAACATCCTGTCTCCACCTTCCTTCACAGACGCCGTTCCACCCCCTCAATAAGAACCTTTCTTCTATTCTCTCCATGCTGGACGGTTATCTCCCAGTCACCCTCATTGACTTTGGGTCTTCTTGCTTTGAATCAGACTCATTTTCGGGCTACATTCAGTCCCGGTATTATCGTGCTCCTGAAGTCATTCTTGGAGCACCGCTTTGGAGTACAATCGATGTTTGGAGTCTGGGATGCATTTGTGCAGAGTTGTTCCTGGGAATCCCAATTTTTAGCGCTGCTGATGAGTTCGATCAAATTCAGAAAATTACTCGTGCCGTTGGTCAACCACCAGACTGGCTGCTAGAGCGATCTCCAAGGACTCCACTCTTTTTTAAACGAAGAATTGGCTTCTCTCGAACATCTAAATGGGAGCTTCTATCAGCTTCTTCGTCTCAGCGCCCTCCCAGAAGGTCAGCAATGAATTTTTTATGCCCTTAGTTTTGATTTTTCTTCCGTTGCAGCACCGAGTTCTCGTCATTACAGGAGGCTATTGCCATGGTTCCCTATGCTGAAGCATTAAGCCAAGAGGAACGGAAAGCGGAAAAATGCTTGCGGGGACTTCTCCTTGATTTTCTAATGGTAAGTGCAGTCAGTGCTCCTTGCGACATCGCTCACGTTTTCCTCGTTTTTCGGATCTGTCCCTCCTAGAAAGCGCTTGACCCAAATCCGTACAGTCGAATTTCACCAAGCGAAGCACTGAGGCATCCATTTATCTACGAAGGACTCCGAATTGAACTCGTTGGAAAAACTATCCTTCAGATGAAACGGGACTTTGCATCTCGAGACAAGATCGCCTTATCCCTCATGGCAGCGCCCAGAAATCCCATCGTTCTTGATTCCCGTTGCTCGGCATTTGTGAGAGAATCTGTGGAGGACTGCGACCCTGAGGCTCTTAGAATGCTGGACCCTCAAAGGATCACTTCCACTGTTGAATTTAAATTGGAAAATTTCTTCAAGGACCTCGAGTCTTCGTGCCGAGGACGGAGCAACCAAAGGCAGGTTTACTATGAAAAAATCATGAAATTGCCGCTCATCCACGGAACTGTTATGCAGAGTAAGATGATTCACGAGTGCCTCAAACGATTTTCATCTTCATTTTCTTCGTTCAGAAATTCCAGAAAATGAGCAACCGACGGAATCGAGACGCAAATATGACTACCTTGACAGACCTGCGAGTTCATCATTCCAGTCCAACCTTTCTCGCTTTCCACCAGAACTCGAGGGCCCGATGCCCGAGGCTGCCAAGACAAACTTCAGGTTCAACTGCACCCCAGAGTCAAGCCAGCCTCTGAATCGAAGCCTGCCAGACCAATACGGCGGGTCCCATCCTTCACTCTACTCAACATCAATGTGTCAAACTGTTTCAGACGAACGATGCCTCAGTCGCGCATTATCAATATGTTTAGCGGAGTTGGGCCTTCCCATGTCTGATAACCAACATGCAGGACTCCCAAACTTTTTGGCAGACCGAGCCGAACAACAAAGATCCGCCGCAACAGGAACCACAACGGCCACCACGCCCAACTCTCCCTCCACATGGGACTTCAAATTCACTCAAACTGATGGAGTGCACACCGATTTTTCAAGACAGTCCTCTCTTTCTCAGCCTCTGCTTTTCAATCTTCCACAATACTACGGCCTGTCCTACATGAATGACTTTCCGCACAATCCTCATTCTTCATGCGGATTTCCAATGTTCTCTCTTCTATTTCGCCCACAGCAAACTGTTTCAAAATTCCGTCCTATGCCGCGTCGCGGCTCAATCTGTCTCGCGGAAGCTTTCATGGAGTCAAACTGGCACTCCAATCAGAATCCAGGGTGATCTCCACGGATCTCGTTCTTCCGTTGTCTATATTTCACTGCTGTTTATATTTTATTGCTCATTCTATGTTATGCGTATTACAGTATTCGTCTCAAGTCATTTAAACGATGATCAAAATAGCAAATTTTTGTTACATTGAGACCGCAGAAAGTATCCAATCGGATAGAATTTCGGATACAAGCCACCAGCTGAAAAATTAACTATTCGTCCATTAAAGCCAGTCTGGCGGCAAAGTTTGCAAGAGCGAAATTCTTGCCAATGCCGCCGCCACTCTTTTTTTTAGTATAGTTCATCTCCTAGGATTTCAACCGGTGTCTTGCTCAGCAGCTGGGCTTCACACCGCAGGCTCATTTGCCGATTTTTCACCACGAGGAGACCCCCCATCAACTTTTTTCCACCCATCTCCTGATTGTTCTACAGTTTAGACCACAACAATTAGACCATAACATAAAACAATTGAACCTACGCTTCGCTGTTCGTTTTGGAAGCCTTCTGTACGAATCCATGCCATCGAGATTCTCATTGTTTCCATGTTTGCTTGTAAACCGTAAATCCGTCGAAGTTGTTCCAACAAGAAATCCCCGTGAGTTTTGTTCCGCAAATGCTCCTGGCTTCCCTTCCGTTCTCGGGCCACTCACTATGGGTTGAATTCTCTCTCCGACTGGTTTTGTTATACCTGCCGTTCTTCCTGTCTTCTTTAAGCTTCCGTTCAGCTCTTGCGCCATCGCGGATTTATTGCTGCTTCCTTGATTGCGCTGCATGGGTCTTGACACTGAAGCGATGGGTTGACGTGATGTAGCTGATCTTTCATTTTTCAGTGTTCTGTTCGTCAAAGGCGAAACAGAACGGGCAAATGAAGGAGCTTGTTGTTGTTGAGCTTGTTGTTGAGCCAGTTGAATATTAAGCGGGGGGTTCTTCAACTGGACACGCGTGTGGGACGGCTTTGATTTCATCGTTCCTCTAATTGACGCATAATTGTTCGATGCGGATTTCTCCCGACCGCTTAAAACTGTCCTCAGTAAGGCTTTGCCTTCGATTACTTCCAGCATTTTTATGTCCCGCCTGTGGAGTCCTTCTCTTGGCTCGTTCCCGCTCAGCAACGACCTATAGAGGATGATTGTTGATTCATCCAGTGCACCGCTAGCACAGTATTGGCCAATGTGTTTTGACGGCGCCGAAGTTTATCAATATTTTGCTCTGTAGAGACTCACAGCGCGAATGTAAGTCCAATGATCTTTATGAATTTCACCATTACGAACTTTCTCTTGAATCAATCCCAAGAAAACGCCGCCAGCTGTCTTCCCTCGAGATCGATCTTTTGTTGGAATTCCTCCTGTTAAAAATAGAAACACAAAATGGACATTCGAGCGAGTTGAAGAGAAACAAACCTTTTGCCTGAATCTCCATCGTTGTTCTATAAAGCGAAAGACACATTTCTGACCCAAGACGACGGATGCAGCGAGACAGCTGTTCCCGTTCCACTTCCTACGAATTAGGATCAAACGAGAAACAGACAAATATTTACAGAAACACACAAATGACACAATGTTAGCAAAATTAGAAAACTCACGTGAAGACCAGTCACCAAAACGTCGAGCACTGTGAGCTCTAATGGCGACAGTTCTAGTTGGATAGTTGGAACTGTGAGAGACAAACTCCTATTTTGAACTTCTGCTACTTCGACTCCTCTCTCTTGAAGGAGCTCCTTGATAACCCGAGCCTGGCGAAAAAAAAACACGCTACATCTCATCAACAACGGAAATAACAACAATCACAAAAAGTCAAAGCTCATTAAACCGCGTGCTTACAGTAACTGAGTGGCCTGCTGTTACAGCTAATGTGTAACTGTCTAAATCCCATATGTCTCTTCGTGTGAGACCAGTGGGATCCTCCTTAGCGAATAATTTAACAACATCAGGGAAACCTCTTAGTGAGGCGACGTGGAGAGGACTGCGAAGATGACGATCGAGAGCGGAAAGAGAGTTTGGGACTACAAAGATCAAGAAAAGTAAATGATCGAATAGTGAGATGATTGATATCATCAACAGGCTTCATCGTGTGTCACTACGTCGTCTAACCTATTGCGACAACTTCTTGGATAAAATCAATACGTCCTCTTGCTGCTGCATAATGCAATGGATGGCGACCAGAGTCGTCAGCATCATCCGCTACGGAAAACAAAATGTGCTTCGACAAAACAGACACGTACCTTTTGCCCCCCATTGCCGCAATAACTGAAACATTTCAAAATTGCTTCTAATAGCTTGCGAAATGAATGGCCTTGCTCTGCAACGAGTTGCAATGATTTGGGACACACATGCATGACAAACTTACATGCGCTGGGGCTTCTCTGCATGGTGAACAATTGTGACTATAGAGCATGTTGATATCAGCGCCTTGGGAAAGGAGCACTCTTGCTACGTCAACAAAATCTTTACATACTGCTATTTGGAGGGCTGTCCAACTTTTAGTATCGCGTTCGTTGATACCAGGCTGAAGAAGGAACCGCCCATTGATTCAATTTCAGCGTTCATCTCGAACAAGCCTGACAAAAAGCTTACAGCGGAGGATCGCTCAGCGGATGAATTGCTTGTGGGACATTCTGATGAATCTGTTGAAGTCACAGGCTCGATGGATGATACGGGTTGAGACGTTTCATCGTCGGGAGTCCGGACCTTCTTTCCTAGAGAGAAGGATGCGAGTAGGACGAAGACGGAGTTGAGTGAGGGTTGTTGATTATTTACTTATTAGCCTGGTCATGACGTATTGCGTCATTCCAGGTAGACCGGCAGCTGCGGCATAATGGAGAGCAGTTCTTCCAGATTCATCTCTGTGAGGAGAAATCAATCAATCAATTCATAGATGAATCGGTTTGTGGAAATGATTAGGTTGTAAGCTACCTGTGCTCAATATCTGCTCCATTCGCCAAACAAATATCAACAACGGAGAGATTATCAAGGAAAACAGCTGGTTGACAGGAAGAGGGGTCACGACGGGTGAAACAATGAGAATCACATACCACGCAAAAGAACAACATTCAAATCAAGGTCTTGAAGGCAAAACTGCGTTGGATCAAACTGAATTGAGTTTCTTCTCATCCAAGCTGGTCGAAGCGTCTGTGATGCCGACGATTGCTGCGGCGGCGGTTGTGTCGCATGTGGTGTAGTAGAGCTCCAAGAGGGGTGGAACGGTCCCTCATCGAGCAACGTTTGCTGGACGTCATCTGACAAGAACGCGTAGACCGCTTGCTGATCAGGAGATAGCCGTGAAAGCAGATCGTTCGCTTCCGAAATATTGGGGGGAGTGAAGTGATGAGTGAATTGATTCTGATAACGCAGCACATTCTTGGAATGAAGCTGTTTGTGACTTTTGTCCCTTGGAGTGATTAGATTCTTTTGGCCTTCTCTACCCATTATTGTAAGGCTTGTCTGTCTGTTGTTGTCCTCTTGCTCTTCAATCAAATTACTACCACCGCTACGAGGTTTCTTCGCCTCAGGAGCTGGTTCCTCTTCATTCGTTCTTGCGGTATCATACATGCTGTTTCAGGGCGTACAATATACCAAATTGAATAAGCTGTGCAGTTGAATACAAAATATTTAGGTAGTGGGTTAAGGTAGAGGGTTCATCCTTAAGACGGCATGCTTACAAACCCGAATAGGCATGCAGTATAGTGCCTGGTCCCCGGCCATTCTTGTTTTTTATATATATGAACATAATTTTTTTGTGAGATTGAGAAAATAAAAAAAAATAGACTGCCAAAGAGCTGGATATGCAGAAACGAAAATCAAGGTATTGTTGGCAGTGATTGCTTTTCTCAAATATCAACTCTCAGTGCCGGTGTAAAAGCCACTGACGTTTCTACTTCTTTTGGCGGTGCAGCACCTGTCGCTCAAGAGCTGGGATTGGTCCGTGTTAAGGCCAATGTGTTCAGGTAGACACCGTTTCCTAAAACGAAATGGTTCATATTTTTGAACAGTCAAGCCGTTCGAATCCGATCTCTGGAACGTCATGACGTGCGGTATGCTCATTGTTAGACACCGTTGCACCAATATACCTTTCCCGCAATCCAGCATCGCTGAGAAACCATCCGGAGGAGGCAGAGGGAGAGGCAGGGGTGGAAGAGGGGTGCAAGGTTGGTGTGGTTCTTCGTCGGATGAGCCAGAAATTCCTTCTGTTCAATCACTAAGGTGGTAGTCGACACGCCAGCCCCGTTCTATCGATATCCGGAGAGCCACAAATGCCAAAACGAGCAGGTACTAGACGCAGGAATTTAGATCAGAGAGCGATCAGCATTTGAAATCAGAGAGAACTCTTTTTGCTCGTTAGTTTGTCGTGAAGTGCTCACTGCAGCACTAAGAAACTGGCACGGGTTAGTCGCAAACACTCAAGTGCTCAAAATGGAGTTCTATGGGTTGTCTCAAATGCATTTCTTACGTCCAAATGACTCTCAGATGGTGCTACGACGACCAGAAGATCCTGGTTGCGAGGGAGTGAGATTGTTCCGTGCATTCTTCCGCTTTTACTGTTTTTGACTCTTTATTCAGGAAGATGGATCTTCACACGACGGTGAAAATCGGTCGAGCTTCGTTCGATGTCAGTGTGGCTTGGCAAGAAACGTGTCAGATCAACTACGACACTTTGGAAAGCCAGAAGACTTCAGATCAACTTTTGAACATCGTTTGGCGAGAGGCCAACCTTCAATCGTGAGTTTCTCTTCTTTTCGATGATTTAAATGAATTTTTTTTCTAGTGCTGAGATGATTGGAGCATCATACTTTCCGCTGGTCGCTGAAAAGTACTTCGATTTTTCCAATGACCCTCACTCAGGTACGCCTCACCCCGCATCAAGATATCAATGTATCTCCTTTCAGCTCGGTCACTGGGTGGAAGGATTTTGCGCTACGGGTTGTTTCAAGTGTCCCAATTTGTAAAGAAAATTGGTGAAGACGGGAGAGAGACGCTTGAACCCGTTATCTGCATCAATGCTCAAGGATCCGTTGGAGTATTTGGGCCGTGGGTCAAAATGTCAAGCGAGTTATAATGTTGTATTGTTCAACCAGACAACCCCTAGCCGAATTGCTTCAGAAGGCCACTGGATTGACACCTGCGGCATTGATGAAAACGCGTGACAACGATGCAATACGAGCTCTGAATAGTCTGACTGGGATTAAGATCGATATAACAATTCCTCAATCCAGCCCTCAACAAAATAAAAAAACGAAGAAAGTAAGATTCAAACTTGAAACGACCTCCACTCCTTGTTTATCAGATCGCATTTATCGATCTTAAAACGACTGCAAGAACAAATAAATTCAAGGATCATGCTACTGGAAGACAGATCAGCGTGGAGGATCACTTTCGTACGATATTCACCTTTTGAAAGTTCAGTATATCGCCCTCTTTTCTTCTTTTTCAGGAAAGCTTGTCAATCTTCGACATGCTGATGACTGGCCGTTGGTTTGCACGAATGCCCAGAAAAGAACATGCTTTCCGCTGGAGCTATGTTCGGTCAAACTCCAAACGAATCCTGGTCCACGACTCGATGACGTTGCTCGAAGTTGCGTGAATGATCAAATGGCAATGCCGCCGAAAGACCGACGCGAATTAATCAACTACTTCGTTCAACGCACATACAAGAACAACCGGATTTTGGATGCATATGGGATTACTGCTGGTTCCGAGATGCGAACAGTCCAAGCAGTCGTGCTTCCTCCTCCGAAGATGCAATACGCAGGAGTGAGAGCTGGATGATGATGCGTCCATTATTCTGTTCTTTTTGTCCAAACAGGCGTTGGCGGATGTGGCAGCAGGATCTTGGGAGTCCTCGGATCAACCATTTGCTCGTGCAAAAAGGTTGGAACACTGGGTAATTGCGTGGCCGCCATCGGATAAATTTCGTACCGCAGAGCCAGTGGAGAAGGTCATTGAAGGTGAATATGGACACTCAATTTCAAACACATTGCTTCTTATGCCAGAAATGCAAGCTGCGGCAAAACGACGAGGAATGACGTTGGATCCACCGGTGAAGATCTTTCGGTATTCTCCAGATACGATCCAGACCATCTACGACCTGATGAAGGAAAATCTTCCGAATGCTCAGGTAGGAATTTTGCGACAATTGCAGCTCGATTGGGACAATGGACTCTTCATGCCCTATTGTTTGCAGTTCGTGATGTTTATCGTCCCAAAGCGATTCATCACTGAAGTCAGGACTAAAGTGAAGCAGACCTTCGAAAATTGGATTCCTAGTGGGCATTTGGGTATGAATCCCTTCTTTTATCTTTGTGTTGATGAAACTCTTTTGTAGTCGTCGAAAACACTCCAATTCTTAACGGCAAGGAGACTGGAATACGCCAACACTTCAGCAATGTGATGGCCAAGATTAATCTCAAACTCGTGCGTCTGTTGAAATGCTGATATTCTATTGAAATCTGATGTTCTGACTTTCCAAATTTTAGGAAGGGGGATTGTGTCACAGCACAACTCGCGACTCTTCTGTCCATGACTTGGGAATAACAGGAACGAGTGATGCACTTCAACGTCTTTTCCAAGAAGATCTTGTTATCTTCGGAGCGGATGTTTGTCATCCAGGAGCATCTCCCATGAAAGGTGCTTTGCCATCGCTTGTTGGAGTTGTCGCAAGCTGTGACGGAATGAAAAACATGGACTTGCTGCAATGCGAGCACAACCAGCAAGAGAAGAAATCATCGCCGATATGGGGGGCATCACCCGCGAATTGCTAAAACAGCGAGAAAAAGTGAGAGGAGTTCTCTGACCAAAATCTGATGCTTTTTTTGTGTTAGTGGCCCAGGAATCTTTTGTATATTCGCGATGGGTGTCTCGGAAGGACAATTTGACAAAGTGTTGTCACATGAAGTGCAAGCTATCAGTGCTGCATTTTATCAGCAATCGCAGTTCACGCCTGATATCACTGTCATTATTTCGAGTAAACGAATTCGTACTCGCTTCTTTGTTGAAGATCAACGCGATGCTCGAATGAATGTTCCTCCTGGTCTCGTTGTTTTCGATGACTTGATTTCGCCGATGGGAAATTATCCGAACTTCTACATGGTGTCTCATGCAGGTCAACCACACTCATCAACATGATTCTTTTTTATTGTTTTAATTTAGGAATCAAGGGGACGTCCAATCCGTGCCGATACTTCATACTGAAAGATCAAATTGGATTGAAGTTGAACGTTCAGCCGTACTTTTGGGCTTATGCACTCTATGATAGCTGTCATCTCTACCAGCGTTGTCAACGAAGTGTCAGCTATCCGACACCGGCGTATTACGGTAGGCAGCTCTCTTCACGTTTGTCTGTGATGTGTTGCCCCTCACTTGCTGTGTGTGTATTACAGGCCATCTTGTGGCTGATCGAGGTCGCCTTCTTGCTGATGCTATAACACGGCGCTACTTGGACTTGAGCTGCCTCAGTGAATCTCAAGCAACAACGAAACCACGCGAGCTTTCAGAGATCCAGGCAGCCCAGATGATGAAAGACATCAACACAATCTTCGCGACCGTCTGTTCTGCTCAAGGCGTTCGCCTCTTCTTTGCATAATCTTTTCTTAATCAGTTCTTCTTCAGAGCGAAATTGAATATCCAAAGATTTTTCAGCAAGAGCGAAATTGAATATCCAAAGATTTTTCAGCAAGAGCGAAATTGAATATTCACCATGTTTTTCAGAAGTTGAATATCTACCAGGTTTTTCGGTACATCACAACTTTTTCAAAACGCTCAGTATAACTTTCAGTACATCGCGAGCTCTTTACGTGAATGTAACGAAAAAGATAAATTCAAACTCTATAAAATCAATCGAAAACTGTCAATAAACGTTCAGCAAATGCTTGGTCCTTCGAACGCGTAATAATCTGAACGAAAAATTGTAATCTCACGAGTATACGCCAATGTATGAACAGTACCTTCAATAGGCATCCATGCTTCGGGCTCATCACTACCATGCATCGCGATAGGATTAAAAGTCCTCCGACGAGGATCCCAGCGAGTAAAAGATCATGAGAAGTTGACGTTGCTGGAACGACTTCTGTTCCCTCGCATGGCGCGAGATTGAGAAGATCAATGATTTCTGAAATTGCTGTTTCCATCGAACGATAATTCAAACTCAATTTTCCAAGTGCTTCAAATCCAGCGAGCAGATTCCATTGAGATTTGAACTGGCCGGAACGGAGACCGCGAGGAACGACATAATCAGCTAAGAAAGAGCAGGAGTCGGAATGGATTTGGGACATCGATGTCATTTACCGATTGAGATGGAAATAGGTTCTAAGGCGTAAGAATCGTTGTATCCAAAATCGTCACCATCTTCTTTGACGACGTAATTGAGGCTCACAGCAAAACTTCCTACGGAAGTACTGAAGCCTTCTAAAATGACAAACAAGAGATAGATAATAAGAGTACAAACAGAAAATCAGATAACAAATAGATAATAAGATAACAGATGGATAATAACGAAAGACGACGCTTATATGAAGCACACCTGAATCGGTTTGAACCTTCTTCAAAATACTGAAGCAAGATCCTGGAGCGTCGAACATCAATTCGTTTATGCGTGAAGCAGCGAGAATGGTCCACTGGGATGGATCGCAATTCGTTGGGACAATCTCAACATTTTGCAATTTCTGAGTGACGAAAAAGGCTAAACTATTGTGAGGATTCCGATAACTCACCTGATCTGGCATCGTGTTTGTAACTTGGAATTCCAATATAATGTGATTTGATTGAAAAATATGCTTGACACACTGGAACGACACGGTAAAATGAAAAGACTGCTTTCGTTCTCTCGTTGGAGAATTTGATTTAAGATGGGACTTTTATTGTCTGGACTAAATCTTACCACTACAGCGTATTCTGCTTCTTTCTCTGTGAGAGGCACTTGCTTACAAGAATGATCCAATTCGCCTGAAAAAAGAAAGATCGGTTATGAAACAGAGAAAAGAGAGATTTATGAGGAAACAGAAACAAGAATGGGATCCGACGGGATTCCAAGGAGGAAAGAATCGGAGACACTTCAATGACAAAAATCGTACCCAAGACTTCATCAGGGCAGAGTGAGGAGCAAACACGAGAAAGCTCAGAGACAATTCCATCCCCTGCCAGTTCGAATGACGCCCTAGCAGCTTGAGTCGTTGGAGAAGCGGCCTGAGAAGGAGGCATCAAGACGCAGCAGCAAAGCATGTAACTTACAGCTTGAGTGGGAGACGCAGCGGCTGTTGCAGCAGCAACCATTGCACTGATATTCTTATATTCCTCTAAAATGAAGAGTTACAAGTGACCAATTCTATCGCCAGTAGAATTTCTCACCCTCAGATGGAAGATTTGAGAGATCAAGAGGTCCGATAGATCCAGATGATTCTAACCATTGTTTTGTGTAGTCGAGTGTTGCGTCAATGGAAACAGGAAGATCAGGAGTGAGAAGTTCTTCAAGAGAAACAGTCGAAGAAGCACAAGTTGATTCACCGTCAGAATCCTGCGAACGGAAAGATGCAGATACAATGAGAATAAGACTCGTAACGAGATGTCATTGAATATCTGTGAAACGCTTACATGTAAATTTAATGCCTTGCAATAAAGCCGAGAGCGATCACGAAGTTCATCATCATTATCAACAAGGCAACTTTCAAGCAACACCGCTATGTTCTTCGAAAGCTCAGGACATCGCAAACCGACGCGACTTAACGCGTCAACAGCACCTGCTCGAACAGCAGCATTTTCCTGATGACAAAACAATCAAGTTTGAGAAGAATAAAGAAAACTTGAAGAAGGCAAAAACAAGAAAACGTAGTGACTATCGCACAATCCTGTCCTCTACAGTAACGATGAAGTTGGTAGCACCGAACCACAGTGATACACTCCATGTCACCATTTAATGGACCACGCCAAAGTTAAGTTAAACTTAAACCAAAGTTAAACAAAACTTACCAAAATCAATCGGTTATAAATAAATCGAATAAATTTAGATGGTTGGGACGTTGTGGGCGTCAACTCTCCAAGAAGTCCCAAAATGCGGATACAGAGCGTTGGATATTCACAATCTTCGATAAATTCACATAAATGAAACAATCCAGCTTCTTGCGCCTTAAAAATGAAACAAACAAAGCGTTTACAAACGCGTGACACATCAAACAGGAACTCAACAAAATCTCAAAATCTGTTGTCTAAATAAATATACCTGAGGATTTTCTTCGAGCAAAGCGGCAAGGGCTTCGACCAGATCTCTCTTAACCTCGTAGGTTCCTTCCTCTCGCAACTGAGTCGCAAGAAAACTCATCATAGTTCGATGCTTGGAAGGATACGTTGATGCCAATTGCCGAACCGCTTCAATGACCTCAATTTTGAAGCTATCAGCGATTTCTATTACAAACAAAAACGACAAGCTGCCAAGATATCTGCAACACCTTACCAGACATTAAGAGGGAGATCTGCTTGATCAAACGCTCTATTCCGGATTCATGGCCTGTCTTGAACAATGTCGTTAAGGCCAACGTCGCTATGCTACGATTTCCATCAGAAAGCAGTGCTTCAATCTCCGAGTTGCACCGTGCAACAGCTAGCGGTCTGGCTCGTGACAATTTATTCAATGTTCTCACTGCGGCAAAGCGAACTGCCGAACGCTGATTAGAAAGCATGATCTGCAGTGCTAACAGAGAAAAAGAGGAGAATGATTAAGAATTGCATTGAGAAATGCGTCTCATTGTTCTAAGCTCCCTTCCATTATTTGATGTCCTACCAGTGAGTGTGGGAGTTAAATCTGTTCCGCAAATTTCCATTCCTCCACGAGGATCATCACACGCCAAATCACACAACGCTCGAGCAGCTTCCAAGACCGTCATTTCAGATCGATGATGCAAACGCGATCCCAAATAGTCGATGAGGCTTCTTTCGAGTGCTGGATCTTTCTCTGCCCGTAAAATGCGCGTTGCATAACGAATGAGAAGACATTCCGCAAGAGGGCTCTTCAGTGGAGTGGCGGTGAGAGTCCCAACAACCTAGGGAACAACGAATATGATGCTTATAGCGCTAAGACATAACAGCTTGGAAGAGCTACTGACTTTATGGAGCGCTAGTCGATCCGATTTTTTCAATTCATAAAGCAAAGCCAGTGCGTGAAACTGAACGGTTGTATTTTTGGAGCGAACGCTCTCAGTAACTTCATTCACCCAGCTGAAACAAAAAGTGGGACACAGCCATACAGAGACGATTTTTACCGTTTGACAAGATCTGGACACGTCTTCAACAAACTCATTCCGCAAACCAAAGCCGACGACGCAACGAAGGGAGATTTATCAACGATAGCCGTCTTAAGATAACGCTCGATTTGTGTTGCCATCGATGCGTCAACGATTTTGCTCAATGTACGGATGGCGTTTGCTCGATGAGTATCACTTCCAGAGTTCATGTCCTGAAAACGGAGCGACAATGGACTACTGAATGCATGCACTGTAGAAACTGGAGGTGTGGGTGGATGGACTGCATAATAAGTGCAAGAAGTTCGCTCGGGCTCACTTTCGTCAAGGAGGAGGTCACAATGAAGGCCTCTCCCTCGCTTATATTGAGAGCCTTGATAGCAAGATAGACCATCCGACGGAGACGATCGTTCGTCGATTGGAACAGTTTTGTCACACCGAAAAACAAATCGCTCTCTTCCTGGGGCGTCAAAGTTTGACCCTGACGATAAATGTAATAAAAAGAGAGATGAATGTAAGGGTCAAAGTTTATGTCAGTAGAGGATGACGGAACACCGTATGGACTGGATTGAAGTCAATCTACCTTAGTGATGATCAAATTAAGAACTCTGGTCAAGCAATCAAAACACTTCGTTGGATTAAGAGGAGTTTCATTCAAAATACGAGTTTCCAATAGAATGGACGCTTTTTCCCCATCATAGGGATTGACCCACCCTGGAACAGGAAGAACAGTAGAGGATATTTGTATAGAGGCCAGAGTTACAAATCATTGCTTATTAACCAATGACGGTGTGTTCAAAGCAGACGGAGGAATCACTTACCACCAGTCTTCCCATCCTCTTTATTGACATCGGATAACACCGTTGTGATTGCTTCACGTATAGACTGTGCGTTCAACATTTTGAAGTGTTATAAAAGAGATGCCTTAACAACGCGATCCACAAGTTAATAGATAGAATCTTGAACTGGGGGTAGCGGGGAGGGACTGGGACAAGCAGGACTACGAAATGCGAATAAAAACGGATAGTCTTCTCTCAATCGTATAAGATATCAACAACAATCAATACCTGACGTATTCCTTCGGGGCTCAAAAAATCCTTCCCACGTATTCGTTATCCTGTAGTAGGACTGGACCAGGTGAGCTCGAAATTAACACTATATATCAACGAACAACTTAAGAACTCCTTAATGTCCAATTTTACAAGATTGATGCACCGCTCATCGTTTTGAAACAACAATACTGTAAGTTGATGAGATTTACATCCTTTAGTTGATGCTCTTACGGAAGCCTCTATTTGTTTGTATGTATTTCCCATTTGTTTCACGCAGGCATTAAACGTAGAGATAATCCAATGAACAAACTCTAGAACAACTGAATCACAGTCCACCTTTTCTATTAGAACCACAATACATGTAATAATTTTATGATGATTTTTCATTTCTCTTCCCCTTCGGAGTCGATCAATTCAGTTCCCCTATTTTCGATTTAGGTGTCTCTCGAGATGGGAGACGCGGATGAGGATCCCACGCGTCAGCGGGAAGCAGAAGGTTCCACTCCGCTTCAACGTCAAAAGCGGCGCGCTTCCGAAGTCCTTCCCTACCGTGATTGTAGCAGGGGGAGTGTTCATCCCCCCTCAAAGCGTCCCCGTATCAATTCTGTCGATGAAGCTGTTGATCACTTCCGGCGTGAACTCGGACGGTTCCGTAATCGGCGTATCCGACTGACAATGCAAGTGATTGATGAGTCGACGCCAACCAATAGTCTTTCAAGGGAGTATATCGTAGCACTGGATGGCTCCCCTACAGTGTGGCGACCCGCTAGTCCTCGACGCAAAAAACCGCGGGTAGAGATGTATAGTCACGCCGTCATAAGGAAGTCTCCAAGTTTGGCTGAAAGCAACCATGAGCCATTGCCTCTTCCAAACTCAGACTTAGTAAAAAAAGAAGCTGGTACGTCATAGTTTCGAATATGATGCGGTCACTGTCGTCCATTTCTTCTGTTGCTAGAATCCCATTGTTTTGAAAATAGTATGAAGGAAGACAACAGTGGATTTTCTTCAAGCGAGGAATCACAACAAATCATCATCCGAAACCGAAGAAGGTCGCCTCACTGTCTGGATGACGACAACTGCGCTTTTAGCCCACTTGCTACATCTGCGGTGGCATTGGAACCAGATGAAGTCATGAAAACAGGAGAAGAAGAAGAGCCAAGAGCAAGTGGAGATAGAGTGATGAGCACAGAAGAAACAGTAACAGATGATGCACTGACAATGAGAGAAAATGAAGCGTTGATCACAGAAGGAGATGAAGCACTAACAACGGGAGCAGCACCGACAATAAGAGAAGATGGAGTATCAAAAGCAGGAGAAGATGAGGCACCAACAATGGGGGAAGATGAGGCACCGATAATAAGTAAAGATGAAGTATTAAGAGCAGGAGAACAGGAGGCACTTCCAACGGGAGAAGACGACGCACCAACAACGGGAGAAAATGAAGCGGTGATAAACGAAGAAGATAAAGCGCTGAGAACAGAAGAAGTAGCGACGGTTCCGAACGGCGATCATAGTGCATTGATAAAAGAGAAAGAGGAAGATGACGATTATTCAACCGATAGGAATGAACGCGCTTCAAGATCCAACAGTAAAAAAGTGAAAAAGAAAGTTGAGAAGCGATCAAAAATCGGGAAAAAGAAAGTGAGAAGACGCTCGGCCAGAATTGCCAGAATGAAGGAAGAATTCGTTGAAGAGTCTTCAGATTCGGCGAGTGATTCTGAAGGAAAGCTCGAAGGAAGACCGAAGGCTAAACAAGAGATCTATGTGTCACCGCATGTGCACATAGAGATTCCTGAGAAACTTGACCTTGAAGCAAACTGTTATATCTGGAAGAAAGCAAGAATCTGTCGGGGGAGGTACACCGTGTTCAGCAGTGAGAAAAAAAATGAAGAACAGCAAAATTTTGAAGGAAGCGTGTCAGATAAGCCAGAGAAGGAAATTGTTTGCAGGCCAGGATCTTCTATTTCAAGCCGTGCAACGACTGATACCGAAAGTTATGGGATGTCACTGAAACAATCCGATGATGAAAACGGATTGAAAAATGGTTTAGAAAATAGTTTAAAAAATGGAGTTGTAGGAATGGCGGAAAATTCGGAGAATGATGAAAAAGAAATAGCTTTTGAAATGTCATCGAGTTTTCCTCTGACGCTTGACGCTTCATCCGTCGCTCGATTGGAGAAGATTGAGAAATCATGGAAATCAAAATGGTGGAAGTTTGTAGAAGACTCAATCGACGTCAGTGGTTTTGATGAAGAACTGCATTTGCCAAGCGCTTTAGCACGAGATGTTCGGGCTTTGCACGACTTCATTCAGAGAGGGATCGAACCTCAACACGGGCGATACAACGAAGCCTACGAATCAATGCGAGCCCGTGCATTGACAATGCGCTGCGCATTCTTCTTTCCATCAGATGCCGAATTGGGGGACATTGAAATCCTTCAACATCTTCGACGAGTTAGCAAAATTGATGGCACACAATCAAGAGCCCCCTAAACTACCGGCAACAGCAACACTCCAAATGGAGCAAGACTCAAATGAACAAGATACTCCTCGCATTCATCGCCCGATGCAAGACACGGACGACAAAGATCATACTGCTAGCGATAGTGTATCCCTTGATCAAACCAAGGATCCTTCTTCTCTCACGCCAAGTCTTTCAATCAATCCCACTCCGTTTACTGATCAACTGTTGGAATCGGATGCTACATCTGTTCCCTCACCGTCCGAGTTGCTGAAACGGCGACGTAGTCCAGTTCCATCTCCCTTCTGTCGAATGACGCGATCGAGGCCAGTCGTATTCGAAGATTGTTTCCTTGATTTCAATGCAAATGCTAAATTAATGCAAATGATTGGAAATGCAACAGGTTCAAAATCTTCGTTCATCATTTCTGAAGTGATTCATGGTCTCATCAAGCCTGAAGATCCTGCAAGCGATGAGTTCAGTAAGTCCACTCAAGACACAAGGAGTAGAAATGAGGATGAGAAGGACACTCTTCATTCGTTATAAATATGATCTGGAATTGTTTTGTCTTGATTTTCAGATCTGTGGGGATTTCCTCTAAAGGAGGGTGATTGTATTCGAGTACTGTTTCCTGCTTCAAATATATGCCGAGAGCAATATCTTGAAGAGGAGGAATTCCAGTATTACCGTTTGGATACTCTTCTTCATACAATTAAGAAAGTGACAAAATCGTGAGTCTATCAAGGCATCTACGCATTGATCTGTCTCTCGTTGATATTCCATCTTTTGAAGTGAATACATCTATGAATATGTTATTACATGGTTTCATCTCTCCCTCTTGTTTTCAGCACTGCTCTCGATTTCACACATCTAGCGCATTACGCACCAAATATCTTTTGGAATCTTGTTCTTCGCTTTGAATCAGATCCACTGGAAATTTTAATTCGTCTCCAAGCGAATACAGAAGGTGGCATTCAAGCACCTGTACGATCGCGTCGTCTTAGAAGACAAACTGTTTTTCGGCCGTCTAACGATTCAAGTCAATTCAAGAAACATGACGAATCGAAAGGAAGGAAATCCGTTGATGCGCGTCGTGGATCTGATTTTTCATCTTCGGAAACTTCTTCTTCTGCTTCAGTTGATGCATCGTAAGTCGTTGCCATCCATGCAGTTTTATGACTCTTTGCATGTTAACATGTTAGGGATCCCAAGGAAGAAGATGCTATTAGCAAACAATTGGAAGAAGCGATTAGTAAACGATTGTATGTTTTCGAGTGCGTCCGAGAACAAGCAGCTGCTCGAGTTTTCCAGTTCGACTCGAAACCTCGCCGAGATCCGTTGGCGTATTCCTTACTGACCTTCGAGGATGATTTCGAACGAAGTCTTTCGCATGACAGTGATTCCACTGAAGCGCACAATGGATTCAGTCCGGACGAAACGTCATCAGTCTCGAATGGCGTCCATGTCCCCATTGGAGCGCGACGCGTTCGCCGTGAACGTCGGATTACTGGCGGAACGAACAATCCGGGTCGTATCACTGAGACTTATTTGGACGATGATGGATTCCCAAAAGTATCATTGGCATCAGTATCACTGGTGCATCGACAAATTATCTATGGTCATTGTTGTTATTATGGCTATACTGCCCCGGTTGAAGTCAAGATGAACGAGAAGGGACGGGCTGTCTATGCTGCGCGCAACTTCTGCAAATACGACTTCATTTGTGGTAAGATTTGTCTTGATATTGGAATAATTCTGATTTTCTCGGTTCATCAGAGTATACCGGTGAATATTACGATAAAATTGGCATTGCTCGTGGTCGTGAAAAAATGTACGAAGAACAACAAAAAGGATCCTACATGTTCTACTTTCCCAATCCGTATACCGGAAGTATTTGTTGCAAGGATGCTACCGATGAAAAAATCCATTATGGTTGGGCACGCTTGATTAATCATTCCTGCAAACGACCAAACTGTATCGCTATGGCTGTGAGAGACCCAGATGTCCAACTTCATTCTTCTAAAACTGAGCCGCGTCTAGTATTTATCGCTAAACGTCTTATCAACAGGTGAGAGACTCTAGATTGGTTGATAGTGATGATATGAGCGCATGTATCGGGATATGCGTAATGCTCCCCAACAGTGACCATTGTTCTATCCTTTCAAATCACTATTGACACAATGTCTATTTTGTTTGTTCAGTGGGGAAGAGCTGTTGATCGACTACGGCGAAAAAAATGTCGCGGTTCTTGCGGCGAATCCCTGGCTCCGCGAGTGAACGAGTTCCAATTGATGATCGACTCGATATGACGAATCATCCCCAGGCAGCGCCATCTTGAGCTCCTTGAGCCTCATTCATCAAGGTCTCTTATCAGGCACATTTCGCCTCTCGACATATCGAACACCTCATCTGTTACAAGAATCGACCCACCCGTTGTGTGTGTCGGAGTTGTTACAAGAAGTTCATTTTAGATCCTAGCTAGAAGTCTTTTACTTGAATGTCCCGCTGGTGAACCTGTCCTAACCAAAAAATACAGCCAATTATGGACAAATCAAAAAATGAACAAAGTAAACAAGTAGGTGTTCCACAATCTCGCATGTGGCGTTGATCCTTGGGACATCTAGAATCATCAAATTATTTTTTGGGACAGCTAGAATCATCAAAGTATTTTGAATCAACCAATCTTGGGATATCTAGAATTCAGCATCCAGGACGAATTCTGGAGCACCAAGGTCGAAATGTTCGCGCGGCGTGCCTGGTGGAGTAGGATTATCATTTAAAAGAGATCTACGACTTAGTGAGCGATCGAGCTCATCAGAATCTGGAGGAGTGGGAAGGGGGGGTTGACTGCGTGCTGTCATTGGGGGTTGACTGCGGGATGTCATTGGAGAGTCAGTTGGAAGGGGAAACGACTTTAACACGCTGCGGCTCTCTATAAAAGAATGAAAACATCATCATGAGATACGATGAATTGGATGGATGGTTAGATGGATGGATAGTTAGATGGATAATATGAAGAAAGAATTAGAGACACTTTACGTGAATGTTGCAATATAGAGTTGTGTTTGGGACTCGGAGAGCTTGCAGAATGGAGAAGCAAAAGTTCTTTGCCTAATTTTCTCTCCCTACAACGATCGATTTCGTCGCTGACAATTTTGATAAGAGGATCCAAATTAAAATACTTGGCTTCATCTAAAATATCTTGTAATTTATTGAGATTGATGGGAAAGTTGAGTTTCCCTTTTCTCAGAAAATCCAAAATATATTCAAATACTTTGGGATTGCGGTCAATAAATATGGGAGTTGTTTGACGCCATCTTGAATCCAATAGATAAGTAAAATAATGATTCCCAAATTTGGTGATTGTTGTTCTCGTTGTCGTAAAGACAGTTCCGCCCACGTTGAGACGGATTAAGTCGTCTTCTTGCAGACCATCCATCAATCTTGCTGTTACAACAGGTGGCTCATTAGTTTTTTGTGACTGGAAAAAAAAGAAATCCCACGAAGAACTTTGCAAAGTGGGAAATTGAGTGAAGTTTTCAGAAGAAACAAAAAACAAGAACAAGAAAGGGATTAGCCATCAGGCTGGTCGTCTGGGGGATCGCCTTCTTGATCTCGTCGCCGGTTGTGGACAGCCTCTAAGAATTGAAAGAACATCATTGCATGCGAAAATGCAAAAGATCGAATTCCTGACGATGATCGTCGATGTTCATTATCACGAATGATTTTTCGAATCTTTTCAGAGTTTCGGTCGCCCGCGGAAACCAACGCGCCTGGACGCCAAATCTATCGAAAGATTAAGAAAACATGTAGAGATGACAAGATGACAATGTTGACAAGATGAGAATGCATGTTGATGACAAGATGAGAAATACATGTTGATGACAAGATGAGAAATACATGTTGATGACAAGATGAGAAATACATGTTGATGACAAGATGAGAAATACATGTTGATGACAAGATGAGAAATACATGTTGATGACAAGATGAGAAATACATGTTGATGACAAGATGAGAAATACATGTTGATGACAAGATGAGAAATACATGTTGATGACAAGGGCGATTACAAGTGCAGATGATCGTGAGACACTCTTCACAATCGTGATATTATTGGGACACACTGATGCGATAATACTTACCTTTACGTCAGAATCTATTCCGCTTGTCGCTATCATCAAATCCTTGGGATGATCAATGACACAATTGACAACTTCGCTATCTGCGTCATGTCCTGAAGAATCAACAGAACGGGATGGATACATAGAATAGATACATATGTACATAAAATAGATACATGAGAATGGATACATGTACATAAAATAGATACAATGGATACATGTACATAAAATAGATACATGAGAATGGATACATGTACATAAAATAGATACATGAGAATGGATACATGTACATAAAATGGATACATCAGAAGAGAATCGATACAAAACGCAGTAACATACCAACGAATGCTAAATTTGAAGTCTCCTGGTTCCAAATGAAGAACCTTCCATCATCCGAACCTGAAGCAACCCAATCGGAAGAAGGACCCTGAGGCCAAAAAAAGGAATTGAATTAGGCGGTTGTAAGATTGACGCTTACAAGGTATTGAACCTCTTTGACGGTGCGGCGATTGCAATGCCCTGAGATGATAGAGTTCAATCGACAGTAGACAAATAAACATACCTATATACATCTGAAATAAAAAAGAATCAATGAGGAAAATCAAAGAAAAATGAAAATAATACAGAATACTATCGATCAAACCCACTTGACTAAAAATCGATCCCGAATCTTCAGAGGAGCGACGTGTGCGCGGACGACCAGGAACCCGCTAAAATCGAGGAATAGACGCAAACACAAACAAGAGACAAAAATTTACTTCTTCATCATCAGAATCCGAAGAGCTTGATCTTAATCGAGAATCCACGCTTGTTTGATCGCTCGACGCCTCATCGTCTACTTGAGAGATCCTTCGTAATCGTCGTCGTCGAAGGATACGAATCATTGGACTCTGCGGCATAGCGGGAGTCGGAGTCATCGGATCAAGTTGAGGGAGGTCTTCAATACGCTGTTCGCGTTGTGAGTCTGGCCCTACTTCACGTGAAATATTACGTCTCGTTGCTGTCCCAAACCGTCTTCTTCGCCTTCTATTTCCAGCAAAGTTTGTAGAAAAAATTAATGGATCTGAATCCGATTCGGAAACGACTTGTTGATTATATTCTTCAGTATCGTTGGAATCACTTGATGACGATGATGAAGATAACGCATGACCATCGCGTGACGGAGCAATATCATCACGAGATAGAGCTCTACGGGCTCTTTCGGCATACGTATGCCTCTCATGACGTGGACCATCATCATGATTCACTGCCATTGTACTGCTTGCATGTCGAGATGAAGCAGTCTTCGCGTTTTCTACATTTGCAGAATTTCCTCGATTTGCACTTTCAGCCTCATTGGATTGTTCTTCTTCAGTTACTTTTTGGCTGCTCTCGCTCGGGGTCTCTGAAGTCCCTTCTAACAGGCGGCGGCTTTCTTCTAGGAGTTCCCTTCCACCTCTTAACAACCGCTGCTCCGTTCTAAGTGCGTTCAATTGCTCCTCTAGCTTGTGCTGTGTTTCTCTTAACTGAGCGGAGCTTGACTCTGCTGCCGTCTCGTCCCTAGGGTTCGAATTCGCTCTCGCGTTGCTCGTTCCGGCTATCGGTCGTCTTGGTAGGGTAGAAATGACGAGAACGCTACTCGGCGACGATGTTGTACTTGGATGGGAGGAAAAAATGCGAATTCGACCGACGCGTGACGCTCTGAGGCGACGAACGGCTGACGTGACGGACGCGGCCTGCTGATTCTGAGGGACACTGCCGTCATGGTTCTGTAGGATGCTCCCATCATGTGGGGTAGTCTCATCATGTCCGAGACTCTCACTCTCCTCATCTTCCATTCGACGACGCTTAGGGGGACGCATCGGGGAGGATCCTACAAAGAACAACCAAGAGATTGATGAGATGAGAGAAGGATAAGCAATCGAGAGCGACATCGCATGCGTCTCACCCTGCGCTCCTTGATTTAGAAGTGGGAGTTGAGGAGGAAGGTTTGAACTTGTTGTAGCGACGGAGGAATCGCTGGAGGACGAATACCCCGCAGGCTGGAGAAACCTGTTCAACTTCAGCCTCAAGTTTCGCGATAATTGAGCGGTTGTCGACTGACAGACACGTCGATTCGGACATAGAGTTGGGAGACGCTTACTTTCTCGACGTCAAATTGATAAATGCGTTCCCCGGACCAAGAACCTACGACCCTTCGTCCATCGCGTGAGATGTCCACTCCGGTAATCGTGCGACACTTCGGCCGGTCTGAACAGAGAGGTTTGACCAAATTTTATGGTGATACAAATCCGTACGTTTAGGTTTGAATTGAGCGACGGGTTCACTTTGCGTTGACAATCGTGTTCCAGATGCCGGTCTTGAAAGCAGACGACGATCTAGAAGCCAGATCGCCGGTAAATCGCCGCCAATAACGATCAGTTCCGGGCGCTCCGTAGAGAGCGCAATTGACGAGATCGCATTGGCCGGATTCTCAGACGACGTGAAGCGCCGTCCTCCTGAAAGAACGGAACGAAAATGAATGTGTGAAGGAACAGAAGGATCAAGGAAACCGGACTACTCACCTTGCTTGAAGACTGCGACAGTGTCGGAAGTGCTGTCCCTTTGAAAACCAAATGCCATAGAAGAAAACTGGCTCTCTGTTGTGCGTTGTCGACGGGGCGAGAACGGAACATCGTCGAACAGGGGACTAAGACGACGGAACGCTCGACGCGAGGGACTACGCGGGAGGTCAGTGCTAACACGCGGTCTTGCAGCAGCTTTCACCTTTGCGCGTAGATCGATAAGCTTGACGGAACCGTCGTCGGAACAGGAGTAGACAGAGAGGGAGCTTGAGGAAGAAGATGGAGGGATGACGAATTTTTTGACCCGGTCCTGATAGAACCGCGAGTGAACACACTTGGTTGCAAAATCAACAGAAAGACATCTAGGAAGATACTTGCCGTATGGCCTTCATATGTTAGCAAGAGTTGGCGGGTATTGAGATCGAATAGTCGAACCTGATGGTCCCCACTGCACGTTACGACCCACTGGAAGAAAACGTGAAATGGACATAATTATTGCACCAGGACGTCTTCGTTGAAAAGACAAAAGATAGAAACGTACCTCTGGCTTTGCAGGAACAACCTTCGCACAGAAGACGTTCTCTAAATAAGTAGACGTAATTGAATGAACAGAACGCAATAAATCTCACCAGTGTGGCCCGTCGGAATAACAGTTTGCTTTGAGAAGTCCCCGTAATCTGTAATAACAAGTCTGCCATCATCACCAGATGAAATTAAAAGAGTTCCTTCAGGATTCCATTGAATCGTATTCACACAACCACTATGACTCGTTAGTGTCTCAGTGTGACGCAAACTGACAAAACAGGAGAATACAATCATTACGAAAGGGAATTCCTACCTGTTGATGACTGAACTCGACTTCCAAAGCTTGTGGAAAAAGGGATCATTCCGAACAGGAGTATAAAAATGACGCCGACGACGTATTTCTCCATAGAAGTCCGAACAGTCATCTAAAACACCCTCCGGAAGTTCAAAATCTTCCGTTCTTGGTGGGGGAGCCCATCGCTGTACTAGGGGAGTAGGACCGCCGGGGGTGGGAAGACGCTCGGAGGAAAGAAACCCGCTGGGGGCCAAAAAATGAAGAGCCACTTGAGGCGTATCAGTATCGTCAGAAATCCGAAAAGCAAGGGAGGAGGACATCTAGCCTAAAGTGATTGTTGAAGAACTGAAGAGGGAGATATTTCATAAAATCATCAGGATGGCTCAAATAGATGTAGACTCATCAATCATCCCTATTGAACGTAATAGTCCTGTATCTGAGTGCCAGCTGAACCTTTTTGGTCTGTATGTTCCTTCATGTTGACATCACTTATTGGGTGGCTGAATCAGGAAGATCGTGATAAGCGTCGATGGTGCGAACTTCTGTGATAAAACCACCACAACATGGACAAATAAAAGCGAGAGATCCGTGATTAAGAAGTTGTTTTAGCGCGACGCATAAATAACAAAATGGTCCGATGCAATAACAATTTCCTATCCATGGCGAGGTGATAGGCGCTATCCCACACATACTACACCCAACAGTGGAGGGACTGTCGTTCCACTCTCGGAGCCTTTCCCCTTTGTCCTGCTGGTCCAAATCTTGCTGCTGATTCTTTTCCTCTTCTCCGGCAAGAACGTCTAGTAAGATTGTTTGTCTTCTCTTCCAGAGAATTTCCGAATCGTCGTCTTCATGAGAAGATTCTCGTAAATCGAGGGATGTGGGATCCCTCACGGCTGAGAAAGCTTTAACACATGAAATTGAACGAACAATAAAAGATAATATGAGGGATGATTGCTGGGGATTCTCTACAAATCCATTCAAATGATTCCACGCAATTTTAGAGCGCGATGAACTCCATCTGAAAAGGCGTCTTGATATTCCGATAATTGAGTCTAGATCAATGTTTGGGACAACTGCTAATAGAAACTCTGTCACTGTGTGCCAATACATGTGATGCCTCAAATACGTGAAATCGAGATTACGTTTCGCGGCCTCTGTAACGCAAGTGACTTTCAATCCCATCAGTCTTTCTTCAACAGAACGGTACTTTCCTTGAACAAGAAAAACCAACAGATTCAATAAGGCTCCGATATCATACGCTGTGGAGAGGCAGTCAAGAGGTCCATGGAGATGTGCTAGGAAAGATTTCCGATTCTCAACGGAGTGGGTTGGAGGAAGCAACTTGGTTCGCATTTCAAGCTGTTGTTGTCTTGCGTGGTAATCTCGGAAGGTGGTGTCGGCAAGCGTTCTTAGCCGGGTGACAAACCAAGGACCGATGATCACTAAAAAGAGATAGATCCATTTTTGGCGATGTGACAGATCTTGTTGAGACCGTTTTAGAAGCAGAGAAGAGAGTGAGGTTGGGACATCTGAAATGGATTCGTCGGGAGTTGATGAAGGAATTGAATTCGTTGCAAGCTTCAGGTTGAACATAAGATCTGATGGGGTTGGTTGATTTTGAAGAGTAGAGGCTGAGAAAACAAGAAAGCGAAGAAGAAGTCCCAATTCTGGCTTTGGTATAAAACTAGGAACCAGACACGACCAGCACGATGTCACTTGAGATTCCAGAAGATAGAGAAGTTCTTCATTCAAACGATCCGCATCAAGCCCGTCCACACGACACCGAAATTGCGGGAATGAAGAGGGTTGCATCTCTTCAGACTAGAAAAAGAAAGCAGATGAAAACAGATGAACCCAGGTCCTCCTTCATGGCGTGAGTCGATTTCGAATGCTTTTGAGCTCCTCAGGCTGGAATGTCCATTTCTTACAAGGCTGATATATAAAGTGAGTTCAATTGGTTGAGCGATACTCCTTACGTTTTTGCAGTGGGAGAATGCACACCGTGGAAAGAGTTATTTTCTGAAGGTGAAATGGGCGACGAAGTGTCTGGCCGCGGTGATCGTCATTGACTCCAACTCATTAGTGACTGATTCGGAATTCGCACTCACGAATCCTTCCAACGCGCATCTAGTCGCACCCGTTCTGCAGCATGTGAAGACAATTGTTCAAGCATGCAAGCTTGCCGCCCAATCAGCATCTGTGTATCTGAGTCAGATCTTAGCGAGACAGTTCTTTGTTCATGTTTGCGCCGTTCTGGTGGCCAGCATGAGCAGGATCTATTGCTTGTGCCAAAAGCTTCTACAAGTGGTCGATGAGATTTTGAAGTCAATCAGAGGCACAGAACACAATTTGTCATCGTTGGGAAAGTCATCATCGCAGAAAAGAAGCCGATCAGGCAAGCTAGAAGACTTAGAAGTCCGACCTCTTGCAGGTTTGTATGATCCAGATTACCCGGAAGAGGACTTTGGTGAAACTCTGGAAGTTGATCTAGTTTCTCAACCCCAAGTGACAGGGATTCAGGTGCATAGAGAGAGGATTTTGTTAGGCAGAAAAGCTCAGAAATGGTTGAAACGTGTTCATGGTTATGGATTGCAAAGTGTCAGATATCAAAATTTTGGATTCTTGGTATCGAGAAAACGAAAATATTGAGAAGAAAAATTTCATCGCAAAGTCTCTTGTTTACACGGGTTATGCTTAACCACTCCATGGTGCATTCAAATTATTTGGTGATCCACAGACTCTTGTGGAAACAGCTGGCTGTCTCACCCGTTGAGATGTCAGACTGGTCGTCCCAGAGCATCAGTACCTCAACACTGCGGCATGTTCTCTGGAACTCGATTGAGGACACAATAGTTGGGCAAGCAAAGCCCCTTATATGCATCGTGCGGAACAAAACCGAATTAGAGCCAAAAATTTACAACAAAAGCAACGAACTAAAAAAGGAAGCGAGTTGCAGCAGCTTCCTTCTTTGCTCCTCGCGCTTGAGGAGCGCGCTGTTTGACTCTTTCTGCCAAAGCTTCGATAGTTTCCTGCGATAAAGTATGACAAATTGAAAAGCAAAGATGAAGACGAAGATTTTCTTACTTCTTGAGCAAATTTCCGTTTTTTGCCAACAGTCTGAGGCTCCTCATACTCTGCTTCTCTCTTCCTCTTTTTCTCTGCAGCTTTCTGCTGCATCGCTTTCCTTTTCTCTTCTTGCTGTTTTCGCTTTCGTTCCTCTTCCGTAATAAAGTACTCTCCAGATTCCATAAGGAGATCCTCCTTCCTTGGCGTCTACGGAACAAGAGCGGACAAGAATGACAAGAGTACAAGCGGACAAGAATGACGAAATCAAAATGTACCGGATCAGGGGGAAAGAGTTGTTTGCCTTTCTTTTTCTCTATTTTGCGCTTCTTCCTTTGGGTGTTTCGCTTTTTGAAGTGTGGCAAGAATCTGTCCCAGTTCTCCTATCGAAAAAAGTGGACATGAAGGCTCATGGCAAACAATTTCTTACGTCTTTCAGGATTTCATCTTTTTCTAATTCTTTCTTAATCATCAACTCCTTGATGTGGTAAACTGGATGCACATTCTTCATACAATCTTCGACGATAGTTCTGACGGCTTTCAGCCCTTTCACTGATCCCATGCAACACACTGTCTGTCCTTGAATGAGAACATAGCAATTTGTTAAGAGCTCGATGGCCTTTAACGTTGAACCATTTGGACCAGCGAGGCGTTGGCGTCTACGGACAAACCGATCCTTCAAAAACAAACAAGAGGTGACGTGCCCTTCAACGAGAATCCATGAACAACAGGAATTAAGGCAAGATCGACTAAAAACCATCCAATCAGATATTGTACCTTATTGCGAACAAAACCACCAATCTTTATAATATCGCAATACGTATCGTCTGAAGATGAAAGACATAAAAGGGGCTCGAAGTGTAGAAATGGTACCTTGTAGGATTTTGACGGCTTGTGGCAATGGAACTGATCGCGAGAGCAATTTGATTAAATCTCGAGCCTTGATGATCGAAAAAGGATCCCACGTCTTCTTAGTGGTTCGAACTGTCATCGAACCCTCAACTAAATCTAATTCTGCTTTGATATGAAATTGGGATAACGCCCTGCAGATTGAATGAAGATGGGACGAAAAAACGCTAAGATACCTTTTGACATCTGGCCAAACATCTCTGAGGTATTTTTCACGATATTGTGGGAACAAAGTCGCAAAAGAACTTTCTTCTAGAAGACCAGAGGGGTTGTCGTCCTGGAGGAAACGGTAACAAGCGGCGAGATCAAAACAAGTCTTACTGGAGAGAATTTATCTATTTTCCATTTGTCAATGTCGGGGGTGTCCCATGGCTTATCTTTTCTATGTTTCTGCTTCTTCGACTTCGCTGGGGACAAATCCGAAGATTCTTTCTCTGGATCCTTGACGTTCTTTATTTCGTCCGTGTCCGACATTTAAGCAGCAGTCCAGGTACCCGCTGTTGTCCGTCTGCGGAATGGGGCGAAATTTAGAAGATATAGGAACTACATCCCAACAGAGAATACAAACAAATAAAGGAAATAAATATGAAGGAGAGAAGGATGAACTGATTTCTGACACGTCCTAAGGTTTTGTTTGTTGTCAAGTTGCTAAAATGACAGACAGTGACGTCGAATTCCTCTGCACCGAGCCATCAACACAAGAGCAGGATTCGGATGTTGAGATTGAAAAGCAGCTTTTGACAAACAAGGACATCCTTCAAGATGCACTTTCGCGTAAGGAAAAACCAGGGCGACTTATCGCCTCAAAAAGAACAAAACATGAATCTGGATATTCTTCACGCTATGCAACAGCAAGAAAAGTTATCGAGGGGAGACGTTATAGACGTCGAGGTATCACTACGCGACCCTCACTCCAAGGGTCTACCAACGACTATTTACTCTTGGAAGACAATGAGATCAGTTTCTCACAGTCGTCAACGCAAGATGCCAGGATTGCCCAAAATCCCAGAGGATCCCAAGATCCCAGGGGATCCCAATATCGGCAAGATCCCAGAGGATCCCAATATCAACAAGAACCCAGAGGATCCCAATATTCAAGTGTGCCCCACTATCCAGGTCTGTCCCAAGGATTCAGCAAATCCTCCGAATTCTCAATGAAGCACTACAAGTTGCAACCACATTCGATCGAAGTCATTCCCTTGAATCGAACTCCCTCAAAAAGAAGATCTTTCTCCCTCCGCCAATCACCTTCTTACACAACGCGACGCTCCGATAAACGTTTGGAGTCTTATTTCAGTTCACCGGCATCTAAGCGGCCGCGTCTTAGCGATGACGCCCCCACTCTTCTGCCCTTTTTGAAATTGAAGGAACGAACGACAAATTTCGATGTGCGACGCTCAGCTAGCCCTGAATTGGACGAAGCACTCCCCACTAGTTCCAGTTCAAATGTTCGATGCCCACCCAGCCCAAAGTCGGATGGTCGATCCCCAGCCAGTCCCAGTTCCCATGGGCGACGCACAACCAGTCCCAGCGCGGAGTCTCACCGACGTCGATCAAAACGTGAGAAGCAAAATTGTCATGGACTTGTTGCGGAGTGGGATTTAAAGCTATGCGAGTTGCAAAAAGCAGCTATCGAGATCAATAAGTTCGTATCCATGAATGCAGATCGTTCTGAATCTCAAGAGGAACTTGTTCAGCTCAGATTGTTCCTTTTCAAAGTTCCTTGGGACAAGTTTAAATCAGGGATCGAACAGCTGGATGAGCGCCTCCATCGTTGCGTGACAGAAAAATTAGTAAGTTGTGTGAATGTTGCAATAAGGCTGCTATTCATGGATGTTCGAAATTATGTACCAATAAATAGTTATCAAACAACATTCCAAGGACTCGAGCACATGCTCGCTCAACTGGACCAACTCTTTCGGGATTTTCCGATGAAGAATGATTCGTATTCTTCGCCAATTGCTCACGTTCAAGCATTCTCTAGAGAGAGGTCCGCCTATCAAAGGGATAGGGACTTGACGAGGAATCTCAGAACATGTGGAACCCTTTTGAAAGTATGTAAGATGCCAAATTTGTTATTCGATTAACAATCAAGATGATTACTCTCGAACAATCAAGCTGGATAGACAACGCATTAATTTCACGTCAACGCACGATGAATACCGTCCTTCCTTATAGTCGATACTTCTATTCCTGAGAGAATACCGAACTGACTAGGCTGTCCAAGTTGTTAATTCAATGTCTACATGTTTTCTCTCGTAGGGAAAGACTTTGGAGATCATTTTGCAAGGCCCGGTCGCTAACTCCATGACTGCGTCCATCTTCCATGAAAGGATGCCGGATATTTCAATCCCAGAGGTGCGGGATTTGACAGAATGTCCCAAAATGGAGATCGATTTACAACCTTTCATGACTGTCGTATTCGAATCTTCCTCGAATCGTTCCCCCCTCAAAACCTCTTTCCCTCATATCGTTGAGACGGTGTTGCTTCCGACGGAACAAAAGGGATTTCGACTTGGTGGGTCGTTTGGAAACTGAACCCATGAGCCCGACATCAGTTTCCATGAGCCGTGATGTCGGGTATCGTTAACGGCGTACTATTGCAGATGTTGGCGCACACGAATCTATCCAGGTCGAACAAGACAACAAAAAAATATCTTTTGTGAATAATTTTCTATTGATGAACAATTGTATGTTATAATCACCATATATTGCATCCATATTACTAGCAATGTTTTCATATGATTCGATTTCTACTTTCAGCTGTTCGTCTAACGATTACAGAATCCCAGCTCGATCCTCTTACCAAGGATTCTTTTGCGGACAATTTTTCATTTGTTAAATCAGATTATCAACGACATCTGGATCCCTGTCTGAAGTATCAAGAGTCCCGAAGTCTGTCGTTTTCTCAATCCTTGACAATAAATTGATGTTGATTGTTCTGCTGATCTGATAGATGATGACACTTCAAAAGTTGAACGTTTTTCTATTCTTTTCAGCTTTAAAGATGGTACAAGAAGTTAGAAGGAATTTTCAAGGATTCGAGTCTGAGGCAAGAAAGCGTGTTAAAGAGGTGGGACAAAAGGTTTTGGAGCAAACCGAAGCCTTGACAAAGATCCAAGAAGTCTTTCCTTCTTTGGTCAATCTGTACTATTGGGTGAAGGCGTTTGCAGGCTCGAGTCTCTGTCATGTTGCGCCCTTTGTTGCCATGATGGATGGGGATATTATCGTGAGAATGATTTTCCATCCAACGAACATATTTTTTTGGTGTGTGACTACCAGGGATACTCATGGGATTTTGACTCGCCGAAGGACGAAGCAATTAAGGAATTCATGCGACTTGTCAGAAAACTTGGCAGTGAGAAAGGTTTCAAGGATCTTAATCTTGAATATAGTGATAAGGATCAAGCAAAATTGAAAACTTTTTTCCGGGTTGTCCTCAAGAGAGCGTGAGTTAATCGTTATCGCTAGTCATCATCATCATCATCATCATCACAAGTTATCCAATCGTTACTGTTCATTTTTGTCAGAAAACGAATTGAAAACGGAGAACCAATTGATCGAGATTGTCGCCCAGTTTGGAATTTCGATTCTGTTTGCGTTCGCGAAATTCCGCAAGACGACGAGCGAGAGGTAAGCAGCGGTCTCCTCGTGCATTTGAGATCCCTGGCTACGTTTTCATTTTTTTTGGATCCAGAGTTTGAGAGGACAGCTTGGAGTTTTCGCGACTCGAGAGATTCAAGAGAATGAGGTAGAAATAAGAAGTTTATTTCTATACTGAACTCCATGTTTTCCAGATCCTTGGACCGTATGTTGGGAAGCTTATCTCCAGCAATCAAAAGGACGAGAAGAAGAACCACATTTACACTCAAAAACGAGAAAGGTACGATTGATCGAATATCCCGATGATAAATAAGTCTGATGATAAATGAGTCTGATGATAAATGAGTCTGATGATAAATGAGTCTGATGATAAATGAGTCTGATGATAAATGAGTCCGGTGATTGAATAGGTTGATGTTGATTGCTGTTAATGATTGATTTTCCAATTGTCACTCACATTAGATACGAAATGACACTGGGAAAGGGAGATCTCTTCCTTGATTCTTCAAAACACGGAAACCGAATGAACTTCGTGAAATGACTATCGCGAATGTCCCGAACTCGAGTGTTTGAACGATGAAACGAAAATGAATTGTGCTGTAAGTGCATATTCGTCATCCACACGGATGGTCTCTGAATACAGATACACGATCTTACAAGCGACGGAAAATTGGAAATTTTCGACGGACGATTTGAGATTGTTGTTTACGTGGCAACACGCGTGATCCATGAGGGCGAAGAAATCCTCGCCGACTACGGAACTGCATACTGGTCTCCCATCCAACAGGTTTGTGTCGTGTTTCGATTCTTTGTCATGCACTTTGTTGCAGCATCGGGTGCTTACGACTGGAATCGAAGAATCCTCATTAATTCTACACTTTTTAAGCAACTGTGCTGACTTATCTGGACTAGTTCCGATGAGTTACAACAGTGCTTGAATTTCTGTATGATATAGACGCTTAAACTCTACTGAGCAAACTGAGAAATACTGTACACACTCCAATCGTTCTCAAAGTTAACTACAAGAAGTATCCGTGAAATGGCTGTCCCAAATTTGTATACGTGATCATATACATGATCTACTCTTTGATGGAGTAGGAAACAACCAAGATTCCCCGGGAGTGTACTGCAAAGCTTTATAGAGCTCCTGTAGACACGAAAATGTCCATAAGACGCATCAATTTTATGGGCAATGGTTTTACTTGTCGCGTTTGCATTCGATCTACTTGATTCTTCGTTACCAACCCCGTGTTTTTCAAATCGACTAACAGGTCCTGGGACGACAAACGAGTCACCCCTAATTCGAGACCTCTCACCTCTACAGCACCCATCGCACACCGCAGTAACGACACGGGATAGATGACGACATCGTAGCCATAGACAGCCAAAGTGTCAGCGCCCAAAGACGGGCTTTTTCCAAATTCAGTCATGTTGGCAAGAAGAAAGGTTTCTGGGTGCTTCGACTTCAACACGTGAGCAAATTGTTTGAACTCTTGCTGCAGCAGAAACGCAACAGATTGACCAATAGAGCCATAGGATTAGAATTGCTCATCAGAATACCCACCGCTGTTGTCAAGCCCTCGGGAAAAACCATATGAGCTCCAGCTTCAGCATACGCACACGCTCGTTGCAATGCATCATCCATGCCTAAGAGTTAAAAAGCTGCCATGCTGTGATGCGAGGCCGCACCAGTAACGCTTCGAGCATCCGTTCGTGCGCAGATCAGAAATCGTCCTTCACAACAGGATTCGCTTGCGGCACGAGCCCATATTACTTTTGCAACCATTGCGTCTTCACCGATTAACTGCTTTCCATCCAAATGGCCGCAACGTTTCGGGAAAACTTGATCCTCAATATGAAATCCAGAAGCGCCGGACTGATAATACTCGAAAACGGCGCGCCGAACCATTTCAGCTTCACCGAAGCCTGAGAAATCAAAAACAGAAAATTCTTCCCTGTGTTGTGCTTCGAAGTTCTATTTCCGAGAAAACAAGTCAGTCAATCTCTATTGCGGACCAACCGTAGTGACGAAACTGATGTTAATTTGACCGAAAATCTAACCTGTGTCAGCGTCGACAAGCACAGGCAGCCCCGAGCTTCTGTGTACATCTTTTATCACACTGCACACCTCATTCAAGGTCAGCAGCCCGATGTCTGGGAGACCCTTGGAAGCAGAGAGTGCAGCACCACTGACATAGCAGCCTCGAAAGCCGTTGTTGGCAATTAATCGTGCGGTTAATCCGTTGAAGGCCCCCGGGAATATGAGACATTCATTCTCAGTTGAACAGCGCTGATTCTCCAGAATTGCAAGGAGGTCAACAGCTTTTGTAAGAGCAAACATCGGTGTCTGTGTCAGACCCTACTAGTCGAGGAAAAACCAATTCACACAGAGACGCAATGAGGGACAAACACTCGGATTACGACAAGATCAAGATATCAAACAATGCACTTTCAAGTAAAATAATTTATTTGTCCCTCATTTTCTCCGCTTCTTCCGATGCCCGTCGTCCGAATCTTCGTTAGTATTCTGATCAGCATGTACTCGTTTGCGATCCTCTGTAAGACAGATGAGCCGAAGCATTTTGGTGGCAAAGAACTAAAACACTCTCTCTTTACCTTTGATTGCGCGTTTCTCTAGTTCGTCCCATGAGAGTCCTTCCTCTTCATCACTTCCCAGCTCTCCATCTTCCGATTCATCAAATCCTCCTTCACTCGCTAATGATTCTTCATCGTCTTCCGATTCTGCACTTCCCCCGCTTGATGATCCTCCACCCTCATCACTGAAGTCATCCGAGTCGCCGACACCCGAAGCAAGCTAGAAATGAAAAGCTCATGTCCATTTCATGTTCACAACCATTCCCATTCCTCACCTCCTTGTATTCTTCGTCATCCTCGTCACTTTCACTGTCATCTCCTTCCTCGACATTCGAAGCTGCCCCATCATCTCCTAAGAAGATTTCAAAACCCCCATCAGCGACGAATCCGTCAATATCATCACGGATCGTCCTCAATACTTCAGACCACTTCAAATTTCCTTTACTTTCGTACCACACTGTGTCAATTTCATTCAACCAACGCTGAACAGAAAACCAAGTCATTGAGATCCACACTAACGATGTCGAATTCCATATGCCCCAATGTGAAGTTTCCTATGTCCCAATCCCATATATCCCGAGACCTACTTTGATAGGATCCAGAGATTCCACCGGAATTGTTGTTATCTGCTGGACCGGTTTCGTGTAATCCTTAAAGACGAAAACCATATCGAATTGCCGCAATCCATGAAATACACGTTCAAACGACACAATTTCAATCTCGCTCAGAGTCAACACGAAGATCGGCCACTCGCTCAGCTGCACCAGACATGTCGCAGTCGGCAACATCAATTGACTACAATTGCGTGGAACTCCATGGAACGCCAATTCTCTATCAACGGAAACATGGACGACGATTCATCGCGACGTCCTTACCTTTGCGGTAAATCGAACTCGAGATGTTCCCCATTCGATCGTGCAAATTCATCCGCCGCCTCGACAAACCGCTTAAACTCGACATTTAACCTTTTGCGCATTTCCCGTTCACGCTGCTCCTCCGCAATTTCGTCGGGATCGTAAGCGCTTCGTCCGCGACGCTGATCCAGATCGTCTGTTTGGGATCCTACTTCAGTGTAAAACTGAATATCAGTGACTTTTTTCTTGTTCACCAGAATTGGGTTCTGCAACAATTGATTCTCATAGCATTGACGAGAACAGAGACGAGGACTTTCGTACCTTCAAGTGAAAGTGAATCAAGACCAACAATTCATTCTCGCAGGGTTGAAAAAGAGCGTGTTTAATATTTGCGTAGTTGATGTCAATCATGTCGTTCCGACCACCTTGGAATCGGAGACCATTGACATGCGCTTCGAGTGTTCCAGCGATTCTTCTTGTCTGCGTTCCTGTTTTCACCATCACGCTTTTCAAAAGAACCCGTTTCCCTCCTTTTCGGTTTAACTCCAGCGGTGCTTGGACTGCAATGTCCTGCGATGTGTCCTGAAAAACAAACGGGCGTTTGACGACACCAGCACAACGAAAACCATCTCAAACAGTATATTCTATTATCTGATCCTAAACATATCCACTGTCTATATTCCTGGAGTGAGGGATTGCATAGATTCTGTCTAGTGAATACTCACACCAGTCTCTTCCCGCTGTTTGATTCTTTTTTGAAGATCTTTTAGACTTTTAAATGTCTGTTGAAGTTGTGCTGAAATATCGATAAACTTGTAAACAGGGATTTGATTCAGTTAAATCCTTACGATTTGAAGATCGGAAAATGAGCTCTTTGACGAACATCCCAGATGGACCAGAAACTTCTGGAAACGGATTCTCATCCGCTTTGTATCCAAAACCGACAGAACCGGGAACTTGAAACTGGATTCTCAAAACATGAAACTTTTTATCTTCAGCTTGACAAAAGACATTTCGAATTGTTGAAGCATGGAATGGAACATGACCAAATTTAGGAAGAGGGACCAACACGGCTTCTTTGACGAGATCCAAGTGGATCTGAAGCACAACCAGAAATGTCTCAGGATTTTCTGATGGTTGGATGCCGACGAGAGATCGAAGTTGTTAATTTGATGGATCGACCTGTTCAACCATCAATCACTTACTCTATTTGGTTTCAAATCTTTCGGATATTCGCTGGCATCCTTGTACGTTGTAATTGAAGTCATTTTGCGCACAGCGCGTTTATTTGTTGCAAAATTAGCGCCATCCTTGAATCGATCTCGAATTTCTTCCTGTTTTCGTTTTCGAAGTATCTGACAAACAATCAAATAGAAAACCAATTCCAAACCTATTTTCTTACTTTCTGCCTCTCCAACAATTTTTCTGTTTCTTCCAGTGAAGTTGTTTTATTTCTGCTTCTCAAACGATCTCGAAGAACGACAGATTCGCCACGAGCTGCTTCTCTATCTGGGGATGATGATGGTGAGGCTTTCGCTGTTTTGTCCTTCCCAGCAGTACCAGTGGTCGGCTTGCTCTGAGGTTTCTGTTTCGCTTGTCTTGGTGGGGCCGCAGGCTCATCCTCCAATTGATAGTGAACTGCCTTGAATTTTCTGTCCATTTCTGCCGTCAGCACTACCGGTTTCTCCCCCTCTGGCTTCACTAAAACAGTATCGGCAAGCCAAACCGAATACTTAGTCGATTTGTCTTGCGTTGGGACATTCGCGAATCCGACGGAGATGTT